CAGAAAAAACCTTTAACTGACTTTGAGAGATTCTCTAATTTTATAAGATTACAACGTTCTATGGCCTACGTGTTAAGATTTATTAATATTTGTAAAAAGAAACCGGTACAAAGTAAATTTTTAAGTAACGACGAACTACATAATTCTTTAAATACTTTGATTAGATTGTCACAAATTGAGTCATTCGAGGAATATATGACCTTATATAATAACAAAAAATTGCCTTCAAAATGTACTATTTTGAAATTTAATCCTTTCCTAGACGAAAATAAAATAATGCGTGTCGGTGGTCGTTTAGGAAATGCATCATTTACTTATGAAAAGAAACATCCGATTATGTTACAGTCCACTAATCGTTTTACCAAATTATTGTTCAAGTATATGCATGTTAAGCTTTTACACGCCGGTCCTCGTCTACTATTAGCTTCAATTAGAGAAATGTATTGGCCCATCGGAGGCCTCAAGTTAGCTAAATATTGTTATCGACAATGTTACTTATGTTGCCGTTATAAGGGAAGGGTTATAAATCCACTTATGGGCAACCTGCCTCAGGGTCGAGTGACTTCCGGCGATTTTCCCTTCGAGAGCGTTGGCGTCGATTATGCTGGACCTATTATGTCCGCCAGTCGTCAAGGCCGTGGTTGCAAACTTACGAAAGTGTATATTCTCATCTTCGTTTGTTTTGCGACAAAGGCTGTACACGTCGAGTTAACAGGCGATCTAACAAGTAATAATTACTTATCGGCACTTCATCGATTCATTTCACGTCGCGGTAAACCTAAACACATATACTCCGACAACGGAACCTCATTCGTAGGCGCATACAACGAAATCGGTCGTTTTATAAAAGACAATTGCAATTCACTGTCCGAGAATTTGGCTCAGGAAAATATAAATTTCCATTTCATTCCTCCGCAAGCCCCTCACTTTGGCGGTCTTTGGGAAGCAGGCGTTAAGTCAATAAAATATCATTTACGGAGAGTTTTAGGTAATTGTAACCTTACATACGAGGAATTAAACACTGTGCTGGTTCAAATTTAAGGTGTACTGAACTCTCGTCCACTGACACCTCTCTCCACGGATCCTGATGACTTACTGCCATTAACCCCGGGACATTTCCTCATCGGCCGCCCCATCACCTCTATTCCTTCTCAAAATTATGAAGAAGTCCCTAGCAGTAGACTGAGTCGATACCAACGCATCCAACAACTTCGTCAACATTTTTGGAGAAGATGGAGCAAGTAGTATATCTCAGAACTCCAGCAGAGATCAAAATGGCGTTCCAATGCTGACACTTTAGGGACGGGTGATCTTGTAGTCCTGAAGGAAGACAATTTACCGCCGCTCAAATGGCGACTGGGTCGAATTACAGCATTTCATCCCGGAGCCGACGGCATCAACCGCGTTGCCGATATCAGAACTGCCACCGGAATCGTCCGAAGACCTTTCTGCAAAATCTGCCCTTTACCTAACAACAAGGAATGCTAATTTTGTTGAAAGACAAGCTTTCAACGCCGGGGGGGCATGTCTACGCAAACGCCTGTTGTTTTTTGTTACGCACGAAGTTGCGTTACATACGTTTTACTTAGTTCTCTTTTTGTGTTTTCTAAAGTTGTAACCACCGCCCTATTTTTTAATTCATTCTGGTCAATTGCGAAGTACACGGCGATAATATCGGCATCAAAGAGTTTTATTTTCTCCTCAAATTAACAAGTAAACACCGGCGTTCCATAATGCTGCGTGCTATCAACAACGCTGTTTCTTCTGCACATCAATGACATGTTGCTAACCGGTAACATTCATTGCCATGCAGACTACATCACTGATGATTCTTTATACACCGGCCGTGCCAATATTTCTCGGAAAAACGTCGCCGAGTACCGAGACAAACTTGAGTCTGAAGTCGAAACAATGTTAAACAAAGTCTCGGACTGGAGGCGACTAAATCTCGTCCAGTTTAATCCCCAGAAAACACAAGTTTTCGCGTTTACCGCTAAAAAGAACCCCTTTGTCGTATCTTCGCACTCCCCTTGTTGCCTCAGCCAATATTGGAATCCTCGGCGTCGACATATCAAGTGAGTGCAGTTTCGTGGTCCAAATTGGCCTCTAAAAAGCTTGGCGTGCTTAGCAGAGCGGGACAGTGTTTCATGACGGCTTACCGCCTGCAACTTTATAAGGCGCAGGTTCGGCCACACATGGAATACTGTTTCCATCTCTGGGCCCGGGCTCCCCAGTACCAGCTCCTTACATTTGATCGCATCCAGCGCAGAGCTGTACGAATAGTCGACGACCGAGCTCTTTCCGATCGGCTTGACTCACTGGCACTGCGAAGAGATGTTGCAACTCTTTGCATATTTTATCGCATCTACCACGATTGCTCTGAGGGATTGTTCGGACTAATTCCAGCCCCACAATTTCACCATCGCACATCGCGACCAAACTCGCGATACCATTCGTACCATCTGGATGACTGGCGATCTACCACCGTACGATTCAAAAGAAGTTTTCTTCCTCGCATGATGGAATCAACTACCACCAGAGATTTATCCGGACCGATACGACTTAGGCACCTTCATGAGAAGAGCTTATTCATTTTTAAAAGGCCGACACCGCATCTGCAATCCCCTGGTGTTTCAGTTGTTCATGGGCGGCGGTATTCATTTACCATCAGGTGAGCCGTGTGCTCATTTGCCCCCTCTCCTACAAAAAAAAAACAGATTTAATACAGAATTTAGCAGTTTCTACTACAGAAAGTAAGCAGCAAAGCATAATCATAATGGCGGCGCATTGTCGATGTTTGCATAATAGTGTTCAGTTCTGTAGTCTCTCTGACTAGTATATAGCTCTCGCTAGAGAGTACTATATTCCTTGGTTATCTGTGCTGTGGTCTGGAATCTGCGTAGACAGAGAAACCTTTCTAGGTCATTTCTTGGTCATTACAAACCTTTCAGTTTATACAAAGGTACTCTGTGTTACAAACCTCAATGCACAGAGCCTCAAGCCTCAGCCTCAAACAAGCGCAAACGTTCATATTATGGATATGACGACAGATGTAAATATGATACAAAATGCATCATATTCACCTAGTGTCTAGGAGATTATTGCAGCAAATCAAAATGCCGAGCCTGTACTGTGTTCGGGTGATGTAAATGTAGTAACGGTTACTCCGAGTTGCAAATATGAGGTTACATTGAAAGATGTTTTGTGTGTTCCTAACCTCACAACGAACTTGATTTCCATTAGTGAACTTTCAAGAATGAGTTTAAAGAGAAATGCTGCTATGCTACTATATTTACAATAGATAAAACCGTTTGCGTGGCCGTGGCGAACCAAGAAAATGGTATGTACAAGCTGGTCATGGAACAAACAATGTTTGTTTACATCTTATTCCAGTGAAGTGTATGACGTATAAGTACAATTATATGGCATAGAAGATTGGAACATTTGTATATAAATGACCAGAACTAAATGAAGTACGGAGCAGTTACGGGAATATACACTATTTTTATGTAGGCTATTTAAGTCAGTAATCAACAAAAACATGTGAGTCATCTAATATCTAATCTAATAATAGTTTTAATTTTGTGTAAAGTCATAAAAACGTATTTTTTGAAATTTATTTATCATATTGGTCCAACAGTAGGCGAATACATTTTGTGTTGCCAGAGGAGCCTTTGATGAACCTTCTACTATAGTACAGTTATATAGATAAAGCTGTCTGGAATAATAAGTTATCTGATCAGGTGCTTTTGGTAATGGTAGATTTTTTTCACAATCATATGATAATGTTTTTAAATTGGGTCTTTCTTCTCTCACTAAATTAAAAAATGCTTTAGCTTTAAGTTTGTGAACCCTATGTTCTACCATAAGTCGTTGCTTTTGTGCCTCATATGATTCTCTTTTAATTTTTTATAGAAGTAGAATACATGTCGAGCATACATCTGTTCTAGGACTGCCAAAACCGAGGTTATAGTTGTTATTGAAAATTTTTCTGAACAGACCTTTTTTGACTTTTAAATTTGCTTCAAGATTTGGCTGTTTGTTGTACATTTTCCACATTTTGTTAATTGAAAGTTCTGCAGGTAAATATCTCCGTTCAGAATGTCCCCTACAGTAATGTGCTTCGTCAACGTGAAACATATTTATAAAAAGCATTACAGCATTTTTTTCTCTGTGTATAAATGGGACTTGTGGTCACCGCCTCTTTTTTCTTTTACTGCTTGTCCACCCGATTCCACAAACTTTTTAGCAATATACTGTACTCAATGTTTAGTAATGTTTAAAAATTCGAGGAACGCTTTCTGACATTATGTTATTTTTTTTTTCTGTGAGACACTGTAAATGCTGTAATTTGTATGAATGGTTTTCGGATGATGTTTCTTATTTTTAGGTCTTTTTCTCTTGGGAATTACAGGGACGCAGTATTTTATAAGAAAAGCATCTTGTGTTTCCTTGTTGTGATATTTATAAAATGCCGCATGAAAGTTCATCACGTCTCGCATAGTTATGGACTCGCATTTATAAACACCCTTCCGGAGGTGTTGACATCTGGGTCTATTTGGGCTTTCCTTAGGGGAATATCTGTAACAAAAGCACGTAAAATAAATAACTTGGCACAACTTGGTACAACGAGGTAAAATTTGGCAATACGGCACTACTCACTACGCTCGTGATTCTATTTAGATTGTCTATATCGTTAGCTCGGAATTTAAAATCAGCACTCGTACTAAAAAGTTATTTATTCGATCTGTAACAAATAACTATTAGAACAAAACTTGACAATAATAGATTTTAAAAGAAAATATCTGGCCACAAAACATTTGAACGCAATGAAATCCCATACAACTTTGCTTATTCGAATATCGTGTTAATGCAGACTTTGCTCAAAGAAAGTTTTAAAATTATGACCAAATTACATGCACTTTTGAATAAAACTGATTTCAAAAAAATTCATGCTAATAAAATCAAGTATCAAATCTGTGCCATCTATGTGTACTTACCGCTGCCGTTTAGCTATGTTTAGTTTCCAGTTTTCTGGATGAGCCGTACGTTTTCTGGTCTTCCCCGATGTACTCGGCGATGCTAGACACTCCATAATTACAATTTTAATCAAAGTTTTTAGAAAAAAATACAGTATTCATTAAAAAACAATAAAAACACTAACACTATTTCACGAGCGTTAACAACCTCAACGCTTATGAAATTCTGCGCTCTGATTGGTCCACATGGATGTTGCCATCTTTGATTTGAACGGTACTGGATAATGCCGGGTTTGTTACGAGCTCCAAACTTTGAGCACCATTTTCTAGATTTCCTTACAAAACTACGTTCACAGACAATAAAACTACATTCATAGTTAAATTTTGATCTTGAGTGGATATTGCCGCCTTTGTTATTAGATGACTCATGTGCACAGTATGCTGTGAAGGAAAGCAGTCGCGTTTGCCATTTGGTCACTCTGGTCAGTGTTTCCATATATACAGATTTCACCGTATTTATACAGATTTTTGGTGTGTGATACAGATTAGCACTGGATACAGATTTTTATACAGAGTTTTCTAACTCTATTGATTGGATTACCGTAATATTCAACTTAAAACAGACTGAAGCTAAATAAGTGACTAGATACCGCGTTACACACATCACTGCATGATTCAATTCTTTATGGTTAATTTTATTTTTTCACAACGTAACTAGTTAGTATGGCAGAATTAAAAGTGTATTATAAAATATGTATATATAAAATATATATGACTGAAAATAATAAAGTAATTATATGTTCATTTGTTGTAAATGTTTGAGTTTTAATATGTCGTTTGCTTAAATTAATGTTTTCAATTTTGCTATATAAAAAATTGAGTGTATAGTGTATATTTTATACGTGGTAGAGCCACGCTGCAGTTGTACTATGGTTGCAGCACGAATGAGTCTGCTCGACCGGGGAAGGACCACGGTAAAATACCAGCTTAATACTGCTGTGTTTCGTATGGTGAGTGTAGGAATCCGGAGACCATTTTTTTTACTGGAAATGAGGCATTCCATCATAGTCCTCTGGCGTGACAACGTATCTGCGTTTTTATTCTTAAGCGAGGATAAATGTAGATGTCTATGGGCCACAGTATCCGCTTACCATCGGTGGACTATGTGCTCCTTTGTCACGTTTATACTATAAAAAATTCATTTAACAACGATAATCAAACCTTATCAGCTTATCACGTTAGTAGTTATTCCCTGTTTTTCAAAAGAAGCAATCAATCATTCTATTTTGGTTTATTAGATTATACAGATTTTAAGTTTAAATAGCATACAGATTTAATACAGATTTTAGCAGTTTCTAATACAGATAACATGTTCAAGGCATCTGGCAACACTGACTCTGGTACTAGGACTAGTGAACCGCAGGGTGTAATACACGCTTATGTTTGTGGGCCAATAGAGACTACTTCAATTGAGATTACTGTGTATATACTAGAGACCCTGTCCAGTGTCTAGCATACACAGAGTACATTATACTTGGAATACTGGGATTGTCAACTGAACGTCAATAACGGTTTTACGCGTTTTTGGTGTCATTTTAATTATTTTAAGTTTTCTTGTAATATTCTGATTACGTTCCTTATATAGTTTAGTATATATTAATAATATTTATTTGCATTTTCATATTGTATCTCATTTAGCTACAATTTCATACTATCACAAAATAGTTTAACGTAGCCTTAGTCTCTCGGTCGCCATGTCTAATCCAATTCCGCCTAAGCCACCGGATCCGAATTATTCTGACACTAGCATTATTTTCTCACCAGCTGCTTATGTGGAAATTGAAAATGATTTAGAAGGTACATTTAAAAAACCACGGCAGTCATTATCGCAAGAAATTTTTGATGACAACTTCAAAATTATTTCAAACAAAAAGAAAATAAAACATAAAACGAAGGAAAGGAAAAAGGAAAAGCATGCTAATCGGGTTGACATAAATAGAAGAATTTCAGCTTTTTCCACCAATTCCTCATTCTCAGAATCGGACTGCGATACTGGTAATACTTCATCATCTAAAATTAAAATTGTAGGCTCTAACTCTATCAAAAGCAATATGTCAGGACAACGTGCTTATGAATCTCCCATGTCTTTATCATCCAATATTGCTTGTACACAATCATCTGAAATCCTTCTTTCACAACCATCTGGCATTCCTCTATCACAAACATTAAATTCTGCCAATAGTTATATCTCTTCTAAATCTCTTAACACGCATATTGATAGCGATAATAAAAAAATAGAGTCACAAAGATTTCAATCTCTTCGTTACCCAAACCATTTATAATTCTTGGTGACTTTAATTGTCATCATTATTTATGGGGGGATAATACTGATAAATACGGTAGTTTATTAGTTGAAATAATTGACGAACTTAATATTGGTGTCCTTAATACTGGTAAAATTACCAAACGCTCTCGTCCTAGTCTAGAAGTGATGTAGATTTATCAATTTGTACTCCTGATTTAACCACTCTTCTAAATTGGTCAGTTCTAGATAGCTCTCACGGCAGTGACCATTTTCCCATTCTGATTTCGTTTCCAAATAAAGAATTGGCAGAATTTAACAAAAAACCATGTATTAAATACAAATTAGACAGAGCAGACTGGAACCTGTACAATATTTTTCTTTACAATGAAATTCTAAAAATCGCTCCTATTTCTGAAAATAATATAACTTCTATTGTTGAAGCATTTACAAACGCAGTTATAAATGCAGCAGATCAAACAATTCCTGTTAGAACTCTAAATAATAAAGGTAGGCCCTCCCCTCTATGGTGGGATTCTGAATGTACTGAGGCCATTCGTAATAGGAAAAAAGCCGAAAAACAATATAAATTAGACATGAGTTCGGAAAACTATTCATACCTTCAACGTTCAAGAATTGACTAAAAATACTCTTCGCACAAAAAAACAAACACGTTGGCATGCCTTTTGTTCCTCAATTTCTCCTTCAATACCTTCATCAGTTGTTTGGCGTAATATTAGAAAATTTCGCTGTTGTTTTTCATCTTGTTCTTACAGTGGTGCCATTCCCTCTCAATCTATAAACACTTTTCTAGATAAACTTGCCCCCTCTTCTGCTCCTTTGAGAGAGGAGCTACCTCAAAGTATTCCATGTGATTCTTTTTTGATCCCTTAGAACGTCCATTTTCTTTATATGAATTAAAGCTCGTCATTTCTCACGTTCAAGATTCAGCTCCTGGTTTAGACGGTATTCCATATTCACTACTTGCCAAATGTAATGATCAAATTTTATCATACTATTTAAATATCATTAACGTTTTGTTTGACATAGGCTTTGTTGCTGACTGTTGGCGGACTCAAGTGATTATTCCTATCTTGAAACCTGACAAAAATCCTAACGACGGCTCTTCTTATAGACCGATCGCTCTATCCTCAACTCTAATTAAAACCTTTGAACATATGATCAAGAACCGTCTTGAATGGTATGTAGAAAGTCATGGATTGTTATCAAATTCCCAATATGGATTCAGAAAAGGTACATATGATAGTCTTTCTATCTTCACCACAGATATTAGACTAGCATTTTCGAGAAATGAGTCGGTCCTTGCTGCTTTCCTTGACATTTCTTCTGCTTACGATAATGTCAGACTCAACATCCTTAGAGAAAAGATGTTTAAGCTTAATATATCCAAAAAACTTACAAATTTGATTATCAATTTATTTCTAGATCGATATATACATATTAAAATTGATGATGATCTAAAATATACTCGAAAGGTTTTCAAAGGCCTTCCACAAGGCTCTGTTTTAAGTCCTTTATTATACAATATTTATACGTCAGATTTGGACCAGTCTATTTCAAAGTGTAGAATTTTGCAATCTGCTGATGATATCTTAGTTTATGTTAATGATAAATGTATAGAATCTTGTGCTAATGCGATAGAACAAGATCTCCTCTCTATGGCCTCTTGGTTAGATGATCATGGACTAGAACTTTCCCCAAATAAAAGTAATACAGTAATTTTTTCGCGCAAAAGAGTTTTACCTGAAATCCAAGTTCGCCTTTTTGATTATCCGCTCGTAAATATTCAATAAGTTAAATTCCTTGGTGTAATTCTTGATAATAAATTATCTGGCATGCCTCATATAATTTATACCCAAAAAAAATGCGAAAAAAATATAAACATTCTTAGAGCTTTGTGCGGGGTATGGTGGGGCGCTCATCCATATTATTTAAAATTAATTTATAATGTAATTATAAGAAGCCGATTAGATTATGCCTCATTTCTTCTTGAACCAGCTAGTAAAAAAGGATTAAAAATATTAGATATCATTCAACACAAGTCTTTAAGATTAATTATAGGCGCTATGAATTCGTCGCCTATCAATGCCTTGCAGATTGAATGCGGTGATCCTCCACTTTTTATTAGATGACAATATTTATCGGCTTCCTTTTTTTATCGGGTTCTTCAATTTTCAAACCATCCATTACTCCCTAAAATTCGTTTGCTTTCTCAGTACATTTCAATTAATTCAGGAAAATACTGGCGTAATAAAGAAACTCCTAACCTAGTTAAAAGCTATGAACATTATAATTCCTTACTAGATCCTATTTATAGGTTGGTGACTCTGCCTCTTTTCTCCAATTCGTTTGAAGTTGCACTTTTCAAACCCAATGTTATATTAGATATAGGATTAAATAAATTTTCTATTGAATCAAATAAAAGATTTGTATTTACGTTGGACAAGAATTTTCCAGATTGTCATTATATTTTTACGGATGCTTCTAAGATTAACTCAAAAGGTTGTACTGGTACTTCAAAATTGGAGAATAGTTCAAAAAATGAAAAGTCCTCCCGAATCTTCAGTTTTTACTGGAGAAATGTTAGCCATTTTACAATCAATAAAATATTGCTATCTTTTTAAATTAAAATCAAGCGTGATATTTTCAGATTCTCTTAGTTCTTTACAAGCATTGTTATGTAATCCTTTCTATGACATTTCCCGCAATCCTTTGATATTTGAAATTAAGAAACTTCTATTCTTATACCAATTCCAAAACATCAACATTTCTCTCGTTTGGATTCCGAGTCAT